TGAAACTGATCGGTTAATCGAGTGCATGCATGCCAGAATATTATGTTTTGCAGCAACTGTGGTTCTCCCTTCAATGAAGGAAAATTTTGTGGGAATTGTGGGCAAGCTAATTTCTAAATATTACCTAAACTTTTACTCTGCATCGTACGGTGGTCCACAACTGTCACACTATATATTTAGCTTCAACCAAATTAAAATTGCTCACATCAAATTAAAATTGCTCACATCAAATTAAAATCCACTCACATCAAATTAAAATTGCTCACATCAAATTAAAATTGCTCACATCAAATTAAAATCCACTCACATCAAATTAAAATTCACTCACATCAAATTAAAATTAACACAAAATGAGCAACGTGAAAGGAACTCGTACAGTATCTCATGGCAATAACTGCACGGTCACATACTATTGTATGCTTTACGCATTAAGACATACGTTTTTACAAGGGTTCCTGACATTAGTTTTCAAATACATGAACATCCTTTTCTGTATATAATATAGTAGAGAGTACTATGTTTTGCACCAATTGTGGGATTGATTTAGACGACAACACAAACTACTGTACTGGCTGTGGACAAGGTAAACAGTATAATTATAAATCAATATTCATTTACACTGATATAGGAGAATATTAACAACTTTGTCAGTGTTTGTCTGCAGGGCCGTACGCAGGATTTTTTCACTAGGGGGCAGTACGTAAGGCCCATATGCCAAAAAAGTCCTAAATATCTAAAGAATAAGTAATAATGTCATTCTAAAAATCGTAAATATAGTTTTCTCTAGGGGGGGCAACTGCCCTTCTTGCCGCCCCCCTCAATCCCCGCTGTGTACTGCCCTGCTTGTTTGATATTTCTGTGCCAGCAGGATATTCGATAATGATTAATGGTATCCTGGTTGACTTACAGGATTTTCAAGTTTCCACTAAAAAATGTTTTAAAGTTAGCATAAAACATATCAGACAACAATTAAATTGTAAAAATAACACTATCTGGATGTCATTTCCTAATTTTGGGTATAAAATATGGAACAACAAAATTGAAATATAATAGTTATCGTTTTACACTGTAAAAAATAAATTAATTGGTTGTTTCAGATGCACTTATTTGATCAATATTTTATTGGTTAAAACAACCAAAAATTTGATTATTTTAACAGTGTGTAGTGTTAAATAGGGATAAACTAGAGTTATAATGTAATTATTGACTAAGCATACGGATGTTTTGTTTTCAGAAGCTAACATGGAGAGTTCAGATGACAATTCTGATTTTACTGATGATACACTTGAAGACAGCGAGGAAGAAGTTCTGAAATATTATTTCTTTCGCGGATTTACCTACGAAGAAATTCTTTTGTTTCTGGCTAAACGGCATCATTGTACTATAAGTTATAGCACTCTTCTTCGGCGGTTGAAGAAATATGGTTTAATGAGAAGAGGTGTAACAAACAAGGATTCATTTGAAAACACATTTCTGCAAGTGCAGAGGCGCATAGCGGAACTTATTAACGGGCCTGGCTCATCCATAGGGTACCGTGCAATATGGCATGCACTTGAACTAGAGGGGATTCGTGTCCCTAGAGTAATTGTTCAAGATTTGTTAAAGGAAATGGATCCTGAAGGTGCGGAACTTCGGAAAAGACATCGTCTAAAAAGACGAGCCTACCACAATCCTGGCCCCAATTATTCATGGCGTATGGATGGTTATGATAAACTTAAGTGTTGGGGTTTTCCAATACACGGAGCGATTGACGGCTACAGTCGAAGAATTTTGTGGTTTCGTGTTACTCGTTACAACAACTCGCCAAATCAAATAGCTTCTTTCTATGCTGGAGTTGTTTTAGAACAAGGTGGTTGTCCAGTACAATTAGTGACCGATTTGAGAACTGAAAATGGAACTGCAGCCGCTTTACAGTCATATTTCCGTGATAACTCCGAGGCTCATCGATACGTACCCTCTCCGTGAAATCAACGAATCGAAGGATGGTGGGCGTACTATGCCAGGAGTCACAGCCAGTGGTGGAGGAATTTTTTCAAAGACTTGGAATCACAGGGGATTGTGGACACAGCTTGCGAAATAAATATGGAGTGTTTATGGTATTGTTTTCACAAGTTATTACAGACTGAGCTAGACTTAGTGAAAGAGCGCTGGAATTCCCATAGAATTCGGAAATCAAGACACGATACCATTCCAGGACGACCAGATTCTCCTTATTTTTTGCCACAGCTTCATGGATTGAGAGATTATTTATTTCAATTAGCTGCAGCCGAAATTGGATTTGCTTCAGAGAACATAATTGAAAATGAATTAGCAAATGATCACCAAGAATACTTTGAATACGTCAGAAATAATCTCTCTTTGTCACACCCCGAAGACTGGGAAGAAGCATTGAACATGTTCAGAAGACTAATGAATATAGCAGCTAATGGGTATGATTAATTGACGAAATGGTGCACATTAACAATGACTACGGTTGTGTAGTGGAAACACATAAAGCAACATGTTGCATTCAAATCTTAATAATCTCAAACAATTTCAACAATTACAGAATTGTTCGCTACGGCAACAACCAGTGGCATAGCCAGCCCGACAATTTAGTCCCGCTATGCAAATTCAAAATATTATCATTATTCATTTCTTTAGAAATTGATTGTTTTTACAGTCATTGAACACGAAAATATTTGCATAGCGGTACTAAATCGTCGGACTGGCTACGCTACTGGCAACAACTACAAAAATATTCTTGTCTTAGTATATAAAAATTATTTTGTAATAATATATATTTTTGTTAGTCAAAGACAAAGATGACATTTATATACCCTATAGTATTCAGAATGGGAGTGCGCACATTTTTTCGATGGTAGCATAATGATAATTATGAAGCTATCATCCAGTAAGTGTAATCAATACTAAGTATTGATCTGGAAAATCCTCTGTTCGTTGCATCATCAATAATCAGTATTCTTGCCGTTAAGTTTTGAATTCCTAACAAGTTTGTATAACATATAAACACGAACACAACGCAACATCGATAATTCGTGAACTAATACATACATAAATATACTGTACAATGATGATAGCAAGTTGTAATAGAGATAAAAACAGTGGTGGCGCCAGGCCTCAAAATTTGGGAGGGGGGGGCATTTAAGGGGCAAACTCATATTTTGGGGGGCAAGATAGAATTTTCAAAAAGGTACTGCTATTTGCCCATGCCGTTGTCACAGGACTTTCGCCCCCCAGGAAATTCGTCCCCCGTGGGGGGAATATCCTAGGAATATCGCCCTCCTTTAGGATATTCCCCCCCCCCATATATGCGATGTATCTTATTAGTGCTTTACACGTTTGAGAATTTAACTCTGCAAAACTAAAGCTTTTTGTCTACTTTGAAACGTATTATTGGAGTATTGGCAAGTTTATTACAGACTCATATTGAAACTGTATACGCGCATTCACTAATGAATAATGACAACTTTATAGCCATACATTTTCCGATAACGACAAAACGCTTGTGTGGCTACACAAGTCGCTCTCAGTGACTAATAATTTAGTCGCTCTCAGTGACTAATAAATTTGAGGAGGGGGGGATAGGTTTGGGGGCAGAAAATAATTTGGGGGGAGGCATTCCCCCCTTGGCGCAGCCACTGGATAAAAACCTACCCATCTACTGTAATATAATTATATTATATTCTGGTTAAAGTTTAACTTCTGTCTCATAACAATAACAATAACAATAACAATAACAATAACAATAACAATAACAATAACAATAACAAAACAATAACTTCCTATAATTTTTTAAACCAAAACATATATGTCATCTACGTATCGTGCATTATGGCCTTGCGAAAGCCTGCCCTTTAGAAAGAGCAGTAGTAAAGACTTTTTTGAAACTTTCTTCCTCTTCCATGTGACTAACCGGAAGGGTTAGCTCCCTTCCGCAAGCACCAACACATGGAAAGCAGCAACCTCGTTCCCAGGGCTTCAGTGTGAGGACGAGGCGAGACACGAGGAAGCCCTGGTCCGGGCCGGTCACGTGACGTCAAAAAATGGCAGTATTTGACAGCTACTCGTCAAGGAGTGGCGAGATATTCTTTAATGAAATATACAAGTCTTCGAAACAAATAAATAGCCAAAAGACTTCTCAATCGATATTATTTATGCATGTGTAGAGCGAAGTTTGGCACGAATCAGCTAAAATCTATGAAGATCCCGTCTATGTTTTCGAAAATATACCAATATTTCTGGAGATTTTCAACTACAGGCAAAGCTGCATCCAAGCTGCATCTAGGCGTCTCCATGCAAGTGGTGATTCACGCGAAATTTCCTTTCTCTCGTCTTTAACAATATGGCTATTGCTATAATTAATATTTAGTTTAAATATGCTCTTATAGATCTGACTTAGTTCAATATAAATAAACACAAATATAAAACCTCGCGTATAAACCTGTTTTACGCTGTACAGGAATATACGGATTCGCTTGTTTCGCCGGACACCAACACTTGCCGTTCAGGAGCAATGCTTGCCTACAAATCAGTTTATCCCCTTCACAATATTTGTTTTATTTTATCGTATAGTCGCAATTTTCAAGTATTCGGGGTATTCTGGAACTGTGAAACTCGGTGGCGTGACGAATCTTGTAGGGACTACATCGGCCAAGGCGTAGAGATATTCAGCAAACAGGGCCCAAATTAATTTAGTAGTTTCATTTAATTGTTTGTCTTGCTTTTATTTGTCAGTACAGAATATTGTAAATTAAAATATTACTACAATGCAATACGCGTGGTATTTCATCAGACATCTGCACTACATTATAAATACTGTACTGTACAGGGAAAACTACGGCTCAAATAATAGTAGGCATTTCTTGTTTTGTCAGGCTCGCGTCTCAGCTCACGTCGACACGGCTTTTGAGTTTTGTAACCGGCCGAGGGGAAATCATGCAGTCGGGAAAACGTCTCATTTTGAAAGATTATTTTGCAAAACATTTGTACACATAAGAATCATAAAAATACAAATGTTGAATTGTTATTGTCAACTGTCAAGTTCAGTTATTTTTAGACAATATTGTGTTAGCCAATCAGAATGCAAAATTGACCGGCCCGGACCAGGGCTTCCTCGTGTCTCGCCTCGTCCTCTGACTGAAGCCCTGGGAACGAGGTTGGGAAAGCAGATAGTGTGGTTTGGTTGACGAACCAGACAATCATGGTCGAAATTGACATAAATGGATTAGGGATCCCCATTGATCGGTCGATGTCGTTGACCAGGGAGCTAACCCAACATCCCTGGAACTGTTATCTCTGCCACCTGAAATTCTTCATTTGTTTGTTCAGCAGATGGTTCCGAACTTTCTTCAATCTCGACATAATTCCACGACACTGCCTCAGAATAGCCAGATACCTTTTCATCATTATCTTCCAATGAATTCAGGAAATCTTGAAAATTATCCATAACACGCTCCTCGATTTTCTTTCTAGTTGAGCCATCAACTGAATAACGTGGTTTCATGAGTGAAAAAACGAAGTTGGCATCAACCTGTTGGGCTTGTCCCATCACGAAATATTGCTTGAATGCTTCAGGATTTTGTTTCATCATTTCAGCAAGTCCGTAAAGTTCAAGTCCTTTCATGAATTGGCTTAATTATAATTGTCGCTTGCTGACAATACTAACAACAATAGATCTACGAATGTCAACGATGTGCTCCTGATCAATTTTACCCGTGTATCCATGTTCTATTATAGCCGATGAATTGCTCCGAAGGTCGCTTACAACATTCTCTAAGTGGATCTTCTCCGCAGGTGTAATGTCGTTGTCGTCCAAACTCATGAAATCGGTATTAGCATCCACCATTGTTCTGTAAACACATTCATGTAAGAAACACGGGGGTGGGCTTCCTTGGGCAAGGCTTACTGCAACGACCTCTCCGCAACTCTGAAAATATCCTTTCTGTACATTATGCGTAGAATCAACGGGACTACCATCAGGAAAGATCGAATTTCCCATGTCAGTTATAATATTTTGAAGGAACTCTTTTGCCATGGCTCCACGATCTATTCCATCTTCGCCAGTAAAATGAACTCTTAATGTTTTGTCAGCTTTATTGCGTTTTGCTTCACGTTGCCATAAACTGAGGCACCTTGAAAGATTTGATCCTCTACGAGCCACTATAAAAAACTGACCTGTTGCATCAACTCTTTTGTTCAACTCTTTTATGCAATCTTTGTCAGTTATTAATGCATCATTGATTATTGACGTTTCAAATTCATCAGCATTCAATTGGGTATTGTCATCCTCCATTACTACAACTTCATCGACGACTGGTAACAAATCTGGGAACACGTCTGGTAACGACTCAGTGACATAATTTTCATTGTCAACACTTTCCTAATCGATCTGGCTTTCTAATTGTTTTGCAAGATTTTTGTCAAATTTAATTTGATTATCAACTTCAGATGTAGAATTGGTGTTAGATTTAGCACATTTACGTGGAGGACTTGCATCTTCAGAATCACTATCGCAATCTCCCATAAGCATGTGGTTATGATCTTTCATAGTGCAAAGGTACAGGTTGATTCGGTTATAATCAATACCGGACTCCTCGTGATATCGTTTCAGCGAGAATGGTTCATTAGTTCCAGGCAAGAATTTAACGATCTGACCATCCTCGTAAACAAGAAATTAGTGTTCATGTGCATCATACAAGTTACTGTAGTAGGCTTTCCATTTTTCCTCTGCCTTTTCACGAAGGACAGCTGCAGTTGCTGTGCTTGATATACGAATTTCCACTTTCTTTCCTCGCTTCATTTTCAGAATTCGTTCTTTTTCATTCCATTCCAGAAGTCGTATAAAAATAAGAACATCCTGTTCATTTTTGGAACTGCTACCAGCTTTAGATTTTCCATCTTTCACTTTAGAGTTCCATTCTTTTCCTTTGGACGTATTAATGGATTTCTTGGCTTTATCAACGACACTTGGTTCACGTTCCGTAGCGCAACTTCTTGGTTGTTCTTCTCTGCTCTATCTCTTACTATTGAAAAAAAGATAAACGTCATCACTAAAATTTAAGTCTAGCCATGTAAAATCCGAAAAGCCCGTTCTCCACTAGGCGAAGTTGTTCCCGCCAACCTCTTTAGTGTGTGCTTGTTTTAAGTACGAATTTATGTATTTCAGTATAGCTATCATTTTAAATAGTTTTTTCGGTTTTACTTTAAATGTTTTGGTTTTGGCCGAGTTTGTTTTGCGCCTTTTCAATCGAATTTTTCGATTAAATTTGGTCTAAACTATTGACTGTATTGTCTATATTGATGGAAATTGTTTGCTTCTTTATGTTCCAGATATTTTAAAGATTTCAACGACACTCGATTCGGACTCTTCTGTGTATACATTTTTATTCGGCTTTATAACGTAAACTTTATTTAGTAGCTTAACATTTTAAAACAATTCGGGAAGCCTTTTTGTGTTCGAAATTTCGGACTTTTTAAATTTTAAGACTTGTTTCCTTCTTTAAAGTGCCCCTGAGACGAAATTTTGATCTCAGGGGCACTTTAAATTAACCAAACTTTGCTTGACGTATAACGGTCCCTCACTATTATACTGTTTTACGACTTGCTTTTTAACTTTTCCAAAACTCACAAGTTGTACTTTTCCAGTCATTTTTGGGAGTTTGCAACACTGACTAGTGTCTAGTGAGTAGTGAGTATAAACTTTATATAGTTGTCAACAAGGCCGAGGCGAAATGTCGCCAGAGGAAGCCATTTAAACGCTCACTTCGTTAAAAAGTTATTTATATTAAAAATTCATTTTTCTTTATGTCGGGTTTATACTAAAACAATTAGACAACTCATTATAGAACTCGGCTTCGTCTTTACATGATCGCGACGTTTTTGTCAACACGTACGGACGCCATGCAGTTCGTCAAGGTGGACTGCATTAAAAACTGTGTTTTTGTCATGAGTTTGTGCTAATCTTCAACACATAGGACAAAGCCTAAAATTTTTAGAATTTTTTGTTTCCTTAGACGACAGTTATGATGCATAATGCCGCCAAAATTATTCCTAGCTACCAATTTTCGGGTGACGTCCGTGTTGACAAAAACGTCGTTTTCTTAAGCTCTCGGTTATTTTAGCACACAACAAAAGACGGAAAAATACTACTGACTGTAGGCATAGGCCCAAAGAGCCAACTGCCAAGACTTTGAAAACATATCGGAAAAGTAAACAACCAAGAAAAGTAAAGTAAACAACCGAGAAAAAGACCTTCACAAATCACAATCAATTTAATACTACACAGTATGTCAATATAAACAAGTTGAAGTTTCTAGTAAACGATGCTACGGTGGCCCACAACTGTCACACTATTACACTATATATTTAGTTTCAACCAAATTAAAATTTCTCACATCAAATTAAAATTGCTCACATCAAATTAAAATTCACTCACATCAAATTAAATTTCACTCACATCAAATTAAAATTCACTCACATCAAATTAAAATTCACTCACATCAAATTAAAATTCACTCACATCAAATTAAAATTCACTCACATCAAATTAAAATTCACTCACATCAAATTAAAGTTCACTCACATCAAATTAAAATTCACTCACATCAAATTAAAATTGCTCACATCAAATTAAAATTCACTAACATCAAATTAAAATTGCTCACATCAAATTAAAATTCACTCGGAATCAAATTAAAATGAACAGAAAATGAGCAGCGTGAAGGGAACTCGTATAGTATCTCTGGGCAATAACTGCATGGTCACATACTGTATGCTTCACGCATTAAGACATACGTTTCTACAAGGTTTCCTAACATTAGTTTTCTACGGTGGCCCACAACTCTCACATCAATAACAAATAGTTCACAGCATTAACAAACAGTTCACAGCATTAACAAACAGCTCACAGCATTAACAAATTGCTCACATCAACAACAAATAGCTCACAGCATTAACAAATTGCTCACAGCATTAACAAATTGCTCGCATCAACAACATATTGCTCACATCAACAACAAATAGCACACATCAACAACAAATAGCTCACATCATCAACAAATAGCTCACATCAACAACAAATAGCTCACATCAACAACAAATAGCTCACATCGTGGTGTTGGCACAGCGGTTTTATTTTTAATCAACTATATCGTTACAACATGAAGTTCTTTACTCGGGCGCTCACGTCACTTTTCCACGCCGTCCAGTCAAGTTTTCCTGGAAACATTTATCAATTCACAGTGCATCATAGCCGATCGAAGTGGACACGCGAACTTTAATATATGTATAAAAGAAACGATTTACATAACGAAAGGAGGAAATGTTTTGTCCTAATTTGTGCAAGGAAGCAGAAAATGGTTCAAATTTTTGTGTGAAGTGCGGAAAAGGTTAGTAAAACTTTTTAATCGTAATAGCTATTAATATAAACACAGCATGCGCATGCGCCACTGCACGTGCGATGGACATTATCATTGACCTGTGTAAAGTTCTTATTTATGTTATATTAGTCCATTTCTTTGTGTATATCACTATATCTATATATCTATATGTTCGTGTCCCATTACACGTAAACAACAACGTTCCCCCTAATTTCCATCTCCCGTAAGGAGGTCCCGTGGTAGGAGATCAACATGCAACATCTCCCTTTTCAACATGAACATAGCATGAATAAGTAACTTGCAATGTATATAATGTAACGGTCACTTAATTTATGAAGGTGTCTTCTAGTCTGCATATCTTGAGGGTTTCTTTATTTGTCGACCTGACCGAGATGTCACTATCGGATTGTTTCTGCTAACTTTCACATTAGATTGGTTGGAGGTGGATGGTCTACTTGACAATTTCAGGTCGTCATAATCGTCGTTGTTCTCAACTTTAAATGTCTCCTTCGTTGGAAGCAGATGTCGTCTGTTTCGACGAACAACATTTCCCTGCTGATTCAGGATACGATATGATCGAGGTTCACTACACTTCTCTACCACTTTACCCTTTTTTGACCAATCGGTGTCTTTATCGGTTCGTACGCGAACTGTAGTACCAGGTAGTAAAGCTGGTAGATTGCGGGCATGCTGATCATAAGATTGCTTGACCTTGTGCCTTGGCGACACCGGGCACGGTGGCTGGGTTGATCCAGAAGGAAGGGTGGTGCGAGGGTTTCTTTGATACATTTTGTAGGCTGGAGAGTGGCCATCATTGTGTGGGGTTGTATTGAGCACGAGCATGGAAAGATACACATCGCTGTGGGATTCTTCAGCTTTCTTCAGTGACTTCTTGACCGTTTGGATGGTTCTCTCAACGAGGCTATTTGATTGAGGGAAGTGAGGACTAGACGTGTCGTGCTGGAAGTCCCACTCTCGTGAAAATCGTTTAAAGGATGCGGCAGTGTACTGTGGGCCATTGTCACTGAACACTGTTTGTGGGATACCATGACGACTAAATATTTTCTTCATTTCACGAACTACGGCAGGTACCTCGACGGGTTTTGCAATGTGGGTTACTTCAAAGAATTTGGAGTGATAATCAACGACTATTAGGTAGTCTCGACCATGGAGCGAGAAGAGATCTGTACCAACTTTGACCCACGGTTGGTCAGGCACGTCGTGTGGTATTAGTGTTTCCTTTTGCTGTCGGTTGCGATGATTTGTGCACGTTGCACACTGAGAGACAAGAACAGTTAGCTTGCCGGGCTCGACTCTTGCACTTTTCAATGCCTTGGTGTCCTTGGTGAAGAAGGGTTCGGATTTCAGGACGCATGGATTTCGGCACAATGATTTGTTGCCCTTTGAGAAGAAGGTCATGATTGTACACAATTTCGTGACGCTGGCTGTAGAAAGGTTTCACGGAACTATCAATGTTATCATCGGATGGCCAACCATTGACGGTGTATTGTTTGAGCTTTTGTAGAACTAGGTCGTTTGCTGTTTCGCGCTGAAGCTGAGAGAGTTTTGACTGGCTGATTGGTAGCTGGTTGATGATTGAGTGAACATGATGAGCAATATCTTCAGGGGTAATTTCCGGTTGACCAGGTAATGAGGCTCTGCTGACGGCATCTGCCACATTCATAGTCTTTCCGGGTGCATATTCGAATGAAAAGTCATACTTTTGTAGGCGCAGAAAGAACCGTTGGATGCGAGGAGGACACTGAACAATGCTTTTGGAGAAAATGGCTTTTAGGGGCTGGTGATCATTGTGTACGATAAATTCTCGACCATAGAGGTATTCGTGGAACCGTTCACATCCGAATACGACTGAAAGAGTTTCACGTTCTATCTGAGCACAATTTTGTTCTGATTTTTCGAGTGTTCTGGAGGCAAATGCAATGGGATGCCAGGAGTCATCTATGCGTTGCTCAAGCATTGCACCTAACCCAATAGAGCTAGAGTCTGTCCGAATACGAGTTGGGAGATTTGGGTCGTAGAACTGTAGGACAGGAACAGATGAAATCCGACGCTTGAGCTTTTCAAAGGCATCAATTTGGGGTTTCTGCATTAAGAACTCGGTTCCTTTCTTCAAGAGGGCTCGTAATGGCGCAGTTTACTCTGATAGGTTTGGGATGAATTTACCAAGATAGTTCACCATCCCAAGAAAACGCTGAAGTTCGGCAGGGTTTGTTGGAACGGGCATTTTGGTAATTGCTTCAATCTTTCTTGGGTCTGGCTTCACTCCATCTGCGGACATGATGTGACCCAGTCTGTGGATTTTTCGACTTTTTCAATTATACCCATGCTCTCCATGCGGTCTAATTCCTTCTTCAGTCGATCTTTAAGAGCAAACGGTACTACTGGACGGACATCATCTTTCAAGGTCATGTGATAGGTGGACTTGAGTGTGCCAATCTCTCCAAAACAGTCAGCGTACTCTTCAGATATATTGGAGCTATAAGCTTCCTCAATGTTAGTATCAGTTATTTTGTAGACCCGCTTGATTA